TGTATATTTGAAAGAGTTAATAAATTACTAATAAAATTTATATAAATTCATGCCCCATTGTCCAATTATATTCAATTTAATATCATGATTAATAGCCAATAAAAATATATTTCTAGCATGCTATGGTGTTACTATTAAAGTTGGGAGAACTTGGAAATTGAATAGCCAGTTTAATTCAGAATAGTAAACAATATAAGGCAGAGATATAGTAATAACATATATGTGTATAGAATCAGTTTAACATGCATCACAGTATATATCAATAATATAACAGTCAGAAAATATAGTACAATAGAGATATGATATAATGAAGAATCACTCAGACATCTTTATTATAAAGAAAGATATTACTCAGAAATAGCCTGAAGATACAAGTAAGGTGAACTCTGAGGGTTTTTATACATAATAGCAACTTAGAACTCCCCCAATGCACATGATGAAACACTTCCTTGGAACATTCTATCATTGATTACAAAGCTTTATCTTTATCAACACCAATTAAACCTTCCTTTCATGTCTTTATCTAATTAAAAAACTTATATCTGAAATAACAAACTTCTATACTAACTCCTCATCAGGCTAGCAATAAACAAATACCTGATTGTTCAACAGCACTTAGTATTGTCTAAGAGAAAGAACTACAGTAAACCTCTCTATAGTCACTTCCTATATAAGCACATTTTCTTTATAAGCTTGTTTTTTAAAAAACCATCTATTATTAAATATAATAAATTTGACTTCTATAATTAGCACACTTCTCTATAATCATGCTTTTTTGTATCCCTGGGTGTGACTATAGAGAGATTTGACTATATTGTACTTTTACGCATCACGTAGTAAATGTAGAATGGGAATCAATTATAGTAATAAGTTAAGTGTATAGGTGCATAAATAAGGAATGTAGAATTATATACAGTCAAACCTCTCTATAATCACCTTCTATATAAGTACATTTTCTTTATAATTGCGTTTATTTAAAAACAAACTACAGTCAAACCTCTCTATAATCACCTTCTATATAATTGCATTTATTTAAAAACAAACTACAGTCAAACCTCTCTATAATCACCTTCTATATAGGCACATTTTCTTTATAATTGCATTTATTTAAAGGGATCAATTTTTATACCCTCCACATTTAATATTCATACCCCCCAGCAAAAATAGCAATTTTTAAAACTTTGAACGAAGATATTTTAACAACAACCTGACCAAATTCGGTGAACTTTTTTTTATTTAAATTCTGTGGATCCATAGAATTTAAATAAAAAAAAGTTCATCGAATTTGGTCAGGTAGGAGTCAAGATAACTTCGCTCAAATTTAAAGAAAAATCAAAAACATCTATCAAAACAAAAGCTGCGCCAAATTTTTTTAAAACTTTGAATGCAGATATCTTGACAACAACCTGACCAAATTCATAAACTTTTTTTTGTTTGAATTTTATGGATCCACAGAATTTAAATAAAAAAAGTTCATCAAATTTAGTCGAGTTGTTATCAAGATAACTTCGTTCAAAGTTTTAAAAATTGCTATTTTTGCTGGGGGTATGAATATTAAATGTGGGGGGTATAAAAATTGATCCCCTTATTTAAAAACAAACTATTATTAAATATAATAAATTTAACTTCAATAATTGTCACAATTCTTTATAATCACACTTTTTTGTATCCCAAGTGAGTGATTATAGAGAGGTCTGACTGTATTATTAAATATAATAAATTTAACCTTAATAATTGTCACAATTCTTTATAATCACACTTTTTTGTATCCCAAGTGAGTGATTATAGAGAGGTCTGACTGTATAGTAATAAGAAACAACTATATATGATAATGACGTATGGTGAATATAAGTGTCATAATTTAGAAAGGGATGATCGAACCATGACAATGTAAGGGCTAACTAATAATAAAAATTTTAGGCGCAGAAATTTTAATGTAACAATGGACATCCGAATTTTTGATAATAAAAACTTCGGATGATGAAAAATTCGAATTACCGTGGTATATAAATTCTAATACACGGACATCTGAATTTTTTGATAATCCGAAGATTTATATGAATTGTATAAAAACTTTGGATGATCAAAAATTCGGATATCCCGTGTTATTCGACATTGATGACTTTATGAATGATTTCAACTTAAGACTATCGAGACAGTATGAGGATATGGTTGGATGAATTCTATCCGACAGGAACAAAGAATAATTCATATTTATGAATGAATAAATTTATTCGATAGGTACCTAGAGTGAGTTCTATTTTCTGCCAAATGATATAAAACTAATGCTAAACAAGGAATACAAAAGTTTTGTGGCAAATATATAAGACCACACAAATTAAGTAGAATTATTTAAGATCCTATTTTGTCCTAAATCGTTATTCATATGTCGTGCCCGAAGTTAATATTTGCATTTTCCCCATTTAATGGTTTTTGAGAACATAAAATTGGAATAGATAGTTTTAGTGAAATCTATTCTGCTAATTGACAAATGGAACGATACAGTCAACTCTCTCTATTCCGAACGGTCCGTTCTTATATGTAAAATTACTCAATAACTCAGTTCTCAAAGAGGTATTATATTACTAATCCGAACTTTATAATAAAATTTACAAATGTTCTAGAGTTTTACGTTCGGTTCTCACAGATTTTATTATGGTTCGGATTAGAGAGAAGCGACTGTATAAAGTTTTAATTAGTAAAGAAGATTTTAATTAGAGCAAAAAAAATGCGACAGTGGTTTTAAAAATTCTTAAAGCTCTTCTAACATTAATTATATTATCATTTTTTTGAAATTACAAAAATATTGTTAAATATTATTCTAACTTACTGAGCGTCATCTTATCTTATTTAGCGTCATAGAGTGTTAAAAGATCCTACTAAATTTTAACATTAATTATACCTTGGCTTTGTTCATTTTACTCTTTAATTTCTTTAATTCATTATATGTACAAATTCATACAAACAATTGGACAAGAGACACCAAATTCTCAGCCTTATGTCTAATCAGAGTCTGATACACTTTACCGGATTACTACCTTTAACGACTTAAGTTTGAATAATTGGATCTGTGTCATTTCACCGACAATCACCTCATCGACACCTTGGTTCACTAACAATTAATTTACAGAGATTATTTTACCGACAATTAATTCAGTTCATTTCACCAACAAGATTTTTTTTATAAATTACATTAACCTTAACTCTAATTTTAACGACAATGATCAGAATTACTTTGTCGGTGAAATGAGCAGTTAGTTAGTGAAATAAATTGTCAGTGAATAAACTGGTTGGTAAATTAAATATCGGTGAAATGAGCATGTCAGTGAATTACGGATGTTCTCACAAATTCTGGGACAAGCTAAAAATTTATTCGTTTCCAAAATCTCTTTGGTTTCGTCCTAAAGGTCGCCTAACTTTTCGGAAATCACATAATTGTCATAGGAACTTCAGTACGAAGATAACGAAGTAATTTCTGGAGAATTAGATGATTCATGGGACAAAACCAATGAGATTTCGGGAAACGAACAAATTTTTGGGTTGTCCCAGAATTTATGAGAACTGTAACTGTCGGTGAAGTGATTGTCGGTGAAATGGGTACCACCGATAATGAGGATGTCCAGGAACAGAAAGACCTTTCTAAATGCACCTTCATTAAAGGCACTAACTATCTAAGCGCATTTTCAAACTCTGGCCAAAAATAGAGGACACTCATGTTGAATGGTATTTGCCATTAAGTGCGACGGAGTTGAATTTGTTTGGTGAATGCTGATTATATTAGTTGCGAATTATGCGCTATTAAAACTGAAACGGGAGGTTCCTTATCATTTTCCTGACAAATACTTCCCGAAAAATTTTCACTGACAATCATTTCCCGACACTTTCGTTTCTTCGGCACTTCATTCACTGACAATTATTGTAGAAAGATTGCCAGGAAAATGAATATATTGGAAAAATGAAAGTGTTGAGGGAAATAAAAGTATCAGGAGAAATGATTGTCGATGAAATTTTTTCAGTGAAATGTTTGTCGGGAAAATGATAGGGAACCGAAATGGGGTATGCTTCCAGAATAAACAAATAATATTCCGTGACTTAGCTAGCCGATAGTTGCCACCTGCAGACCGGCCGTTGATATAAATTTATGCTTTTGATATTCAACAGTTATACAGTGCTTAATGTGCAGTGAGAATAAAAAAAATCAGATGACCATGATGTATAATTTACATTATACAGTCGTCCGAATTTCGATCAAAAATGATGGATGATCAAAAATACGGATGTTCGTGCATTAAATTTTATATAATACGATTAAATATATTATTTTGAATTTTTCGATCATCCGTATTTTTCATAATTTGATAACGTGCGACATAAATGATCCAGAGGCTTCGGATTATCGAGTGTTGACGTTGACTGTATTTTAAATTTAGCAGCCATGCACTGCCACAAGCATTATAAAATTTTAACTACCAGGAATGTTCGTGTAAAAATTCACATAAAACCTGTAATATTTTATAACACAAATACCTATGTGTATTTTAATTAATACATTTATTCTTTACAGATTTAAATTGATATACTAATTCAGATAGTCTTTGTTTCATTGGGCAGTTCAACAATGTATGACCAGCCTAACATATGTACATGAACATGCTACCAAATAGTATGCAAGATTTTGCACACAGATGGTTGCCTGTAAACTATACACTTCGTACTTAGTACTATGTTCCTGGTATGGTTATATATTTGTATATTGTAAAAAATAAATAAAAATATGATTAGCATTAGTTTTTACCGAGATAAACCAAATTTGTAATTTAATAATGTCATATTTGATAAGATTGTATCTCAATTTAAAATATAAAAACCTTATTAAAATTCACATATACTCTTTTATTATAAACTTTATTCCTAAATTCTAGGCTAACTATAAAAAATTTCATATAAAAATAAGTCAAAATTTCAGCAATCATTCTCGAAATTATTACTTGATTTTAATAATGCCATCTTTAACATCTTTAATCGATGAAAATTACTTACAAAAGAATTGTGAGGATCTTTATAATGCTCTCATTACCCTTTTATTTCCTGTTATATTAGTTGCTTTATTAAACTTTAATAAAAATAATATTAAAAATAATATTAAAAATAAAAATAATGTTGATGTTGAGAAAAATAGTGAAGAAACAGAAAATATATCAATTAAAGAAATAGTTTTACCATTTTTTGATGATATTTTATATAATATCACTATTTGGGGAATTCCATTATTTGTTTCTTTTGTTTATAATGACATGTTAAATGTAAAAATCTTTTCAATTGTTAATATGATTTTACATTTATCTTGCTCTTTTATAGTTTATTTTGCTAAATTTTTCGCAATTAGATTTAAATTAAAATTTTTTGGATATAAAAATAATTGTGATTTAACTAATAATTTTTTCTGGAAATTTAATGATCTTAAATTTAATAGTTCAATTAAACTATTGTATTGTTTTTATATTGCTAATTTTTTGATATGTTTTCCTTTTTATGTACTTCCATTATTTTGGAATACAATAAATAATAATTTTGCTTATTTACGTATATTAGCAGTAATTTTGGCAATATTTTTATTTTCTTATATTTTTTCTTTTCGTATTAAATCTAAATTTTTTAAAAATTATATAATTCCATTACTTTTATTTATTCAATTTTATCTACCAAATTTTTTGCAAACAGTAATGATTTTGAGAGGAAATCCTATAAATTTTTATTTTCTTAAAATATGTGTTTTTATATTATTTTTATCTTTTACAAGAACTGTAAATTATTATACTAAAGAGATTCCAAAAAACTTAATTATTACTACAACTTCACTAACGCAAATTATTTTATGTTCATTACCAGAAATTCTTTTTGATAAAGATGAAAGTATATCCGAAGATATAACTTCATCACAATTAACTTTACCAAATGAACAAGATTTTGATTATAATTTATTAGGTGAATAATTTAATTAGCAATAATTATATACATATTAAACATATAATATTATTTATTAAATTGTAAGAAATATATATATATATTTTCATAAATAATTTTTGTAAATCGAATAAAAAATAAAATACAAAATTTTATAAAAATACTAGCTGAACTATTTATAAAGCTAAAATCGATGAATTAATAAAATTTTATTTAAAAAGTTAAATCGTAAAAATTTGAGGCAATAGGTTCCGCAATATTAAGACTTGCTTGGATTAATCATCACTAATTTTATTTTTTCAATTTTCTTTGATCACAATTCTAGTGATGTACCGGAGCTTTACTTGCCAAGGTATTTCTAATCAACTGTTTCTATTGATATAATCTGAATTCATGCTAAAATTATTTCCACCTTTATTTTTTATCTCATGCAATATATATATATATATATATATATATATATATATGATTTTAAGTGTATTCTTCCTGGGTGTTGCGTTACTTATAAATTTCTGTATAGCCAAAGTTTATAAAATGGGTTATGAAATATCGAAGTTTAGTTGCTATGCTCATTATTTTAGCATTAACTGATCACGAATATTTGACGATTTTAAAAGATAGACCAATGCTTACTAAGAAATACGAGTAGATCAATATCTTTAATTTATTTACTCATATATTTGGAGCTGCAATAATATGGGGAGCATTCATTGATATTTTTTTTAGGAATATTCCACAGATCATTATTCAAGTAAGTATACCGTATAGGCGCGTAATAACGCATCTGTACGTTATTACGGAAGCGTATGCGCGATTATTCGAATCATTATCCTAATTTTGAAGAAAAAAGTTGCAGCTTCTAAAAACTTTTCAGATACTATATATTGGTGCGCATTATTTCGGACGCGTATGGGCGTTATTTTAAGTCAAATATTTGATTTTCAAAGTTCACATGGCGTGTTATTATACGACAATATTATGTCGCAATGCGGCAAAGATTTTTATTTTTTAGTTATTTTTTTTAATAGTCAATAACGATGTAGTTATTTTTTAATGGGTTGATAACAATGGTTCATATGGGTCAATATTAAATAAATAAATAAATAAATAATGGTAATGATAATGATAATAATAATAATAATAATAATAATAATAATAATAATAATAATAATAATAATAATAATAATAATTACCTGATTTTTTTTTTTCCGAGTTATTTGAACGTTTTTTAAACTTTTAGCGAACATTTCTTAACAGCCATTTATCTAAATTCGATGAATTATTTTATTTTAACTCTACATATGTGTAGAATTTCAAAATATTAAGGATCGAGACACGGAAATTATGATTTTGAGTGATTAAAACGAATCGTACTAAATTGCATAATTTTACATCATTTATATTATATAATTGCTACATGTATTCATTATCAGCTTGATCCAGCCTGAATATTTGACAATTATAAAAACTGATTAATAGTATGTTAAAATATGAAATAAATTATTTTTTAGTAGTATGTTAAGGTACAAGTAAATTAATAACGTTTTTAGTATGTTAAAGTGTAAAATGACATTAAAACCTAAAATAAATTCATTCGTATTTAAGAGAAAAAATTTATTATTTTTTTTGTATGGATCAAAAAGAATTACATTGAGCGTTTGAATTTAAATATGAGCTTGTGTGTAGATTTTTGTCGGATCTTTTGCAGTATAGGTGAAACTATTAATAAAAAGTATAATTAATCAATTGATTTAGAATAGGTATCACCTATATTGCAAGAGATCCTTTTTATCTATATATAAGTAATACACTCTTAAATTTTATTTAAAGCAGGTGTTTTTAATTAACGATGAATAAATAAACTCTTGTTTAATCATAAACGGAACAGTTAAGTGTATTGTTTAAAAAAATAAAAGTTTTTAGTTGATGGCAGTATTTAAAAAGTTGCAAATTTTTAGTTGAGTAGTTGTGCAATATTTAAAAAATATCAATTTTTTTATACTAACATCATTTAAATTGCATTAAATCGCACTTTCATTTTTTAATCATCAGTAAATTGAATGTTTGCATATACCGCACGCATGATTTACAAATTCTTATCGCATAAATTCTGTGTCCCTCTTATGATATTCTCTGATTACATTTAACCCCAAAATTACGATATTCTCAATCATACTATATACGCTGGTTTCTTACCAGTTATTAATAAATAATTTAATTTATTGTTGCCTTCATATATAAGATCATGTCTAGTTGCTTTAAGCGTTAAAACCGAGTCTTTTATGTAAACATTTTCATGGTAAGTAGTATTGCCTAACATTAAAGCTGTACCCCTATGTATATTGCCCCAGCTACAATAACAAAAAAAAAATATCAACTTTTATGATTTCAATGTTTGAATATAACTAGTAGGAAATTTTCACAAACGAACGGGTATGTATAGTTCCAATATAAATCGAAAGTGCCATAATCTGAGAAGGATGATTTTGGGATCACGATTTCGGCAAAAGTTACAGAAGAAAAATACACAGGAAAAGCGTTAAATAGGTTGCTAAGTGGAACATTATTGATTTAGCACATTAACTAATTGAAAAGCCCTTGACAGAACCATTATAGAATTTATAGTATTTTAGCTTTTAATATTATGTGCCGATTTTATAAATTATAAAATAACACTAATCGAACTCCTTAAGGATACTAGTAAAAATTTATCATTACGTAAATCAGTGAATCCAGTAAATCTTCTTGACAATCACATTACATGATTAAACACTCAGGCTAAGGTTAAATATTAGGTGGCCGGAATTGTATTACCGGTTATTTCTAGATAAGGGTAAGGTCTTTGTATTCAAGCATTAAAAATCTGATTGTTACAAGTGTCACTTGAATTTCGTTTGTTTGTCGTATTTTAATTTGGTACGCTTGTCCGTTATTGTCGTATTTTAGATTGTAATAATAGTATTGTTTTTTGAGTTTTTCTAAGATATTATCTGGTAATTTTGATAGGTCAATTACTTTGGGGTATTTTTCTAATACTGTTGCTACTTTAGCTCTGTCATTTTTATCGAAGATTGTTAGATACTTATATCCCATATAGAGATGGTCGAAATTCATAAGTTGTTTTTCTATTCGTTTTAGTGGTGCTATTTGTTTTTGAAT